CTCTAAAGCTCTCAAAAATAATAAGATACAAGATATATGCCAAAAGAATGGCTGAAAAACCTAATATACAAGCTAAAACACGATCTGGGGTCTTTTTGCAAATATTGGAAACTTCTGGGTAAGTTCTGCAATTCTTCTTGATACTTTTAACAAATAGCCACGCTCCTTCCTATCTGGGTGACGAGCGTCACCAGTGGGGTGACGATCGTCACCATATGGGATACTTTTCTGCTTCGAGCTTGGTACTTCGTGGCTTCAACTCAGAATGCTCCAAAAGGTTCCAATATCTCCAATTATGCTCCAGACATGCTTTAACCTGCAAAGACTCTTCTAGGACTCTAAAAAGACCAAAAAGACTCAATAAAAAGGACTTATATCATGGTTAAAAACCATAAAAACCATGATATATCACCAGAACCGGGTGAGCCATACGTGGTATACACGGATGCATCCAGAAAAGGACTAGGTTGTGTTCTGATGCAGAATGGAAAGGTGATAGCTTATGCTTTGCGGCAGCTACGGAAGCATGAAGGAAACTACCCTACGCATGATTTAGAGATGGCGGCTGTGGTATTTGCACTTAAGATATGGAGATCTTACTTGTATGGGGAGAAGGTACAGATATACACGGACCATAAGAGTTTAAAGTACATCTTTACTCAACCGGATTTGAACTTGAGACAGCGTAGATGGATGGAGTTGGTAGCGGACTATGACTTGGAGATAGCATACCATCCAGGAAAGGCCAACTTGGTGGCGGATGCGTTGAGTAGGAGAAGGGCTAGCGTATCATCAGAATAGAATGTTGGGAGCATTGTGAACATGCTAAGGACATTGCAGCTGAATGCAATAACATAAGGGGTTGAACCGTTGGGTCTGGAAGCTGCGGATAGAGCTGACTTGTTGACTAGGATTCGGATTGCTCAGGAGCAGGATGAGAATCTGAAAAAAGTGTCACAGAATGATAAGACAGAATATCAGACTTCAAACAATGTGACCATTGTTGTGAACGGACGGGTCTGTGTTCCAGATGTGAAGGAGTTAAGGGATGAGATCCTGAATGAGGCACATCAGTCAAGGTTTTCTTTTCACCCGGGAATGACCAAGATGTATCAGGATTTGAAACGGTACTATCATTGGGTTGGGATGAAACGTGATGTGGCTAAGTGGGTAGCCGGATGTGAGACGTGCCAATTGGTTAAGGCAGAGCATCAGTTTCTGAGTGGTTTGTTGCAAACGTTGCCAATGCCGGAATGGAAATAGGACATGATCACCATGGACTTTGTACTGGGATTACCTAAGACTAAGAAGTTGCATAACGGGATATGGGTCATTGTGGATAGTTTGACCAAGTCTGCTCACTTTTTAGCAATGAAAAAGACTGATGAAGTACCAAAGTTGGTGGAAATGTACATTGATCAGATCGTGAGGTTGCATGGAGTGCCAGTGAGTATCATCTCAGATCGTGATCCGAAGTTTACTTCAAGGTTCTGGAAAGAATTCCAGGAAGCATGTGGAACGCGGTTGCATATGAGTACAGCATATCATCCTCAGACTGATGGGCAATCAGAATAGACGATCAAGACATTGGAGGATATGTTGAGAGCGTGTGTACTGGACTGGGGCGGTAGTTGGGAAGACTACTTGCCGTTGGCTGAATTTGCATACAACAATAGTTACCAAAGGAGCATTGAAATATCTCCGTATGAGGCGTTGTATGGCAGGCCGTGCAGGACACCATTGTGTTGGACACAAGTAGGGGAGCATAGTGTAATAGGGCCAGCAGTGGTCGAGGCTACTATATAAAAGATCAGATTGTTAAAGGTTAAGCTGAAAGAGGCTATAGACAGGCAGAAAAGTTATGCGGACAAGCGTCTCAGGGATTTGTAGTTCAGTGTGGGTGATATGGTTTATCTAAAGGCACTGACTTATAAGGGAACATATAGGGCAGCTAAGAGTGCTAAGTTGAATCCGAGGTACATGGAGCCGTACCGAATACTGGAAAGAGTTGGCACAGTGGCTTACAAGTTGGACTTGCATCAGAAATGGGAGCGTTCCATAATGTATTCCATGTGTCATAGCTGAGAAAGCACATTACCGAACGGGAAACAGTTATAGAGGAGCCGCCAGCAGACTTGCAAGAGGATCTTGCAGTAGTGGCTAGGCCGGTTCGGGTAATAGGTCAGAAAGAAAAGACTAAGCATGGGAAGCTAGTCAGAATGGTTCAAGTCGTATGGGACTGCGACGGACAGGAACAGGTCACTTGGGAGAATGAGGCTAGGATGAAATCTGAGTATCCCAAATGGTTTGACAAGTTGCAAACGGATGAGTCGGATTCGAGGACAAATCTAGAACGGGTGGGGGATAGTTGTAGCATCCGTATCCGAGAAAATGTAGAATGATCGTACCGGACAGGACGTTGTCCGAGGAATAATCGAGCCAAGGGTCGGATATCGGGTGGGAAATGGAGGTTTGGACTATGGTCGGATGATGACCGAGGAAATAGTCGGATGGTAGCTGGATAGCCGAGCCGGATGGACCATATCCGAGGGAAAACAGGGTCCAGTCCATGGGAAATGAGATTTATCCCGGTGCAGTGGGATTTATCCGAGAGTCTGGGAGGTTAGTCCGAGTGTCAGTGGACTGTCTCCAAGGGAGAAAGGGAAACCTCCGAGAGAAATAGAGGATTAGCCGAGATGGGACAAGTTGTCCGAGAGAAATAGGAATATCCGGGTGAAAAATAGAAAACACCTCAGATAAGGGCGGTTTATCCGAGTGGGAAGGGATTTGGGCCGTGGGCCAAGTGTTTGGTCGGCTATTTTGTGGTTTATTGAAGGAATGGTTGAGCCGGTACAAGAGATAGCCGAGAGAATCAAATCGGACCGGGATCAAACTTACTGGAACCAGGAAAACGTCGGATAAGTCCAGGTTATCTAGGGTTTTACGAGTTTATAAGGGATTTTGAGACTTTTCTCGGGAGAGTTGTGTTTATTCGAGAGCAATAAAGCAAAGAAAGAGAATAGTCGAGAGAAAACCCTAAGAAAAACAGTTTATCCCGAGGACATCCGAGAGAGATCAGGTTATCGCCGAGCAGATCCGACCATCGCCGAGATAAACTGGTAAGCGATCGGATATTTCCCTAAGTGTTGAGTTTTCATCGGATAACCTCGAGCTAATAGCCTTGTTTTGTGGGGTTTCTGAGGGAAAACAGAGTTTGGCTCGAAGAAAGGTGAACAGATCGAGAGATAGCCGAGAGGATAAGGATCAGATCGTACAGACAGCCGAGAGATTCTTAAGGATATCGGATATCTTCGTTTTGGTGCGGTTTTCATCGGGATTTCTTCTGACCAATCTGTTTCCAGCCTTGTCTAAGGTGAGTGCGTGACTGTGGTTGGTGTCTAGAACCGTAGGATTGCTAGGTTGAATGTTTGCATGTTGATTGTGTGATTTTCATGTTATGTGTTTAGAACTGATAAGCAATTCCTATGTTATGATATATTGTGGTGTTTACCATGGCATTGATGATGTCTAGCTAACCTCAGGGTAATCCGGATCATGTACTAGCTTAGGGGATGTGGGATTCTCGCTGAAGTAGTTATAGGTCTTAAAAAGGGATTGAACTTGGTTGGTTAAGTTAGATGATCATGGCCGTTTGATATTGTTATGTCTATTGCGAATTGATTGTGTTGAATGTTGAATCCGAAAGTATGATTGCGTGTTTGGTACTGACCAGGTGTTACGGGATGACCGTACTCACTAAGTATTTATAAAATACTTATGCCTCTCTTCTTGAGTGTGTAGGTACTAAGCAGTAAAGGGGCGAGACCAGGCGGCAGTGATGGATATGGAAGGATCGGGATTGGGTTTTATTTATGTTTAAGACGTTGTGCTTTGTCTTATGGCTTTGGTGTTTGACCATTAGGTTGCTAGATGATCAGTTGTAATCGTTAGCGAACCTTGTGTTTTGGTATTTGATAACCCCGAATCCTGTTTAAGTGTTTTATGAAAGTTAAATGAATGAGATGAGTTATTTTATATTCCGCTGTGTGTTAATAAGAAAAAATAAGAATAAAGAAAAAGTTTAAAAATATGGCTAAGTATAGAAACGGACTTAGAAGATGTAGTGGGACACAGTCGCGGTACGGTTTACCGGGTTGGGTTACCACATAATCGGTCGAGTTGTTAATGTTGGGAATTTTAGAGGACTTCATGCGCTTAATTTTCGTAAGCGAACATACATAACTTTTGAACTTGAAGATGAACGTTATGTTTTTCTAACTTTGATTGGTGCATGTTGATATGATCCATTAAATATTCTTGGGTAATAATGAGCGATGTATCTATTACAATGGTAACAATAGTTCACGGGCTCCAGTACTTTTTGAAAAATGAATATTCATAAGATTTTCTCGAAGCTTGGTCGTCAGGCAATCAGCATCTCGCTATTTGTATAATGAGATTTGTATCGATTGTTCGAATGAATGATTATTGGAGAGTAGAAACTACTTTCAAATGTTCATAAATTTTTTTGGACCCTCCATTTGTAAAAGCAAAGAGTCTTTGTAACATAAAAAGTGATAATAATATTTAGTTATTAATTTAACTACTATATTTTGGATTGATGATAACATGATTAATTATAATAGTTTTTTTGGTTTTTTTTTTTTGTTTCAGGACATCGTTTATTATTTTCATCTATTTATAAATTTTTTCATGATAGTTTGCGATCCGCACCGTATAGGATTTGTGGGCAAACCACCCAGTACCTATTTGAAGCTTAAAATCATTTTTTGCACATTCTCCTCGACAAAGACAAAGGACATTTAAAAGTCTATTAAACCCGAAAAAAAGTCAAATCAAAACTTGGGCCAAATATCTTGAGACAGAACCGGGCTTTACCCAAATTGGCGTCCCAAATCAAACCACGACGCTCGAACCGGGTCTTCTTTTCATCGTGGTATATCCTTTGTAGTTTTTCAGTTCAAGTTTCAAACGCCATGCCGTTGTATTGCTATCTCAACGGCACGTATTCCACGGCGGCACAGCGCTTTGTCCCCTACCAAAAACCTGAACGTTAAGCTCTCGACCTCCGTGACAAGCCGCAAGAAAGTAGTGGAGAGAATGTGGAAGCTGACGCAGCGATTGCAGCCGCATATCAATCCGACCCGATGGATGGTCCGAAACTTCCGAAGCGGAGTAGCTGGAGAAGCCACTGGTCTCTACGGCTTCGATCATCTTAAGACTCCCAAAGGATTTCAGCGCTTCGTCGCTGATGCCATTGAAAGGTATGGTTTTTATCGTAAAGACGATTTCTTTCTTATCCAAAGGATCTCACTTTCGCTTTTCAGAGTGGAAATGAATTCTCTTTGTCACAGATTGCATTATAGCCATTGAAATTGATGTTAGTGAGTTATTGTAATGTCATTTTGGTTATTGAAGAGAAGTTTGTGGAACCATTTTTTCCTTAGGTCTGGAGAGTTGGTGAGCTACATATCAGGAATGCCTTCGTCTCCAGAGATTATTAAAGCCATGGATGAGATTTCAGATACAGTAGGTTCTTGCTGCTGTTTTGTTTACTAGTGTTCTTGTTACCGTCTCTGTTGTTTCTTGTAGTGATTGTTATCTTCTGAATTTTTTTGTAGGTCTGTTGTGTTGTTGACTCTGCTGAACTCTGTAGACAAACCCATCCTGACAGGTCTCTTTTCTTTCTACTTCTGAGCTTTCAATACTTGGTTTATTATGTTCTATTGAAACCGGTTTAATTTGCTCCATACATGTTATAGGGAATTTGTTGAGGCAGCTCATAAAGCAGCAATGGAAATGAATGATTATCTACATGTGAGGTGACCAATGATTTGCTCAACTTCGTTCCTTCTTTCTTCAGTTTTACGCATTTGAATCCTTGTTTAGAAGAACTTTTGTCAAAAGAAAATATATGGGAATTACTCCATCTTTGAACAATTTTTTAGCTTAGAAATGAATACGAAACTATACTTTGTAATTTGTATGCTGATGTTTCTTCTTGGGAATCTCTAAACTTATGACATTTCTTTGGGTTGTTTGATGTTCAGCATCTTAACACAAACCATACTTTGTATGCTGCGGTAAAAAAAGCAGAGCAAGATTCCAACTTGCTTACCGCAGAAGCAGGTAGGACCGCGCATCATCTCCGAATGGACTTTGAACGCGGAGGCATTCATCTAGACCCTGGTTTGTTTTCTACTGCGGTTGTTCTTTTTTATACACTTTATGATGTAACTGTTCTACTTGTTGTTGAATGCCTTTTTAAAAAATTTCTATATTGTGTTCTTCGCAGAGAAGCTAGATAAAGTGAATAACTTAACAACCAACATATTTCAGCTATGCAGCGAGTGAGTACCCATGAATACACAATTATGATTTGATTGAAACTCTGAAATTATAATGGTGCTTTCTGCTGTTAGTGCTGTAACTTCCTTATGGTCCATGTTCAGGTTCAGTGAGAATATTGCTGATGATCCAGGACATGTTGATGTATTTCCAGCATCACGCATCCCTCGACATCTGCATCATCTTCTCAACCCTATCTACCGATCCACTTCACAGGTTCTGAGAGGGTCTAAAAGATCAGCTCATAGCTCGAAAGAGAAAGGAGTTCGAATAACTACTGATTCACGAACACTTGCTTCCGTTTTGCAATGGACATCAGATGAAGAGGTACTTTACCTATTTTGTTATAAGCTTTGACGTTGCATTAATTATGCATCTACATCCATTTTTTCAGCTGACCACTGTAATTTAATATCTCTATTTTCAGGTTAGGAAGATGGTATATATTCAAGGGAACTCTGTTCCTCACGCAAATCACGGAGTTCTTGAGAAGCTAATTGCTTCACGCCATGAGCTTGCACAGGTTAGTGCATATGCATTTACGATGCTCTGTAGTATATTGGTTTTAAAAGATTGCTCTTACTTATTACAATAGCTTCTTTTTTTGGTTGCTCTTAGATGATGGGGTGTAATTCTTTCGCTGACTTTATGGTCGAGCCAAACCTAGCAAAATCACCAAAGGTTGTGACATCATTCTTACAAGAACTGAGCAAGACAGTCAAACCGAAGGCGGACGAAGTAAGCTGGCCTTTCGCACTATATCTGCAAAAGTTTGCACTTTTACGATGTTCTTGTTATGGAAAATTAAGACTCTAATAGCCATTTCCCATCTCCATAGGAATACATAGCCATTAGAGACTTTAAAAGAGAGAAATGTGGTGATAATTCTGCAGCATTAGAGCCATGGGATGAAACTCACTATACTTCAATGATGAAATCCTCCGTTAATGATGTGGACACGGCTGTAAGTTGATTTGCTATTTACCTTCTGTCTATTATTCTCTTTTCCTCACTCTAAAGGGACTGTTGCAGAGATTTATCTTAGCATTTTCTGGAATATTTTTGTACAGGTTGTAGCATCGTATTTTCCTCTGCCTCAGTGTATTGAAGGCCTTAAAGTTCTTGTTGAATCGTTGTTTGGTGCAACATTCCACACTGTTCCTCTGGCCCCAGGTGAATCTTGGCACCCAGATGTGATTAAAATGTCTCTTCATCACCCAGACGAGGTATGTATTTTACCGAAACTAAGATAATCCTTGAATACCTCTTGTAGATGTAATCACAATTATAGTTCATTCGAAAGATGGCCAATCTTTTTCCATAGCAGAACGTCTTTATTCCCTAATTCTCACAAATCAGGCCACTGTTCTCTTGTAGGGTGATCTCGGATATCTTTACCTTGACTTGTACTCAAGAAAAGGCAAGTACCCTGGTTGTGCTAGCTTTGCAATCAAAGGAGGACGCAAGATCTCTGAGACTGAATATCAACTTCCTGTATGATTGAATCAATTTCATTTTTTTTCTCTTTATTGCTTTAAAATGTACACGCTGCCTGTTGATCTGATCCCTATTGCAGGTTTTGGCTCTTGTTTGCAATTTTTCACGAGCTCGTGATTCTTCAGTGGTTAAGCTTAATCACTCTGAAGTTGAAGTTTTGTTCCACGAATTCGGCCATGCTCTTCACTCTCTGCTCTCACGAACGGTGTTGTACAGAACTTATCAATACAGGAAGCTGATTACGTTCTTGCTTTGCTGATTGCTTCTGTTTTCTGGATTTTGTAGGAGTACCAACATTTTTCCGGTACACGAGTAGCTCTTGACTTAGCAGAAATGCCTTCAAATCTGTTTGAGTGAGTATAACTCTCGGCAACATTTCAATTCCGAGTTTTGCAAAACCTTCAAGTAACGAATGTGCTCACGCATCTCTCAGGTACTACGCTTGGGACTATCGCCTCCTGAAGAGATTTGCACGGCATTACTCAACCGGTGAGACAATGCCCGAGAAGTTAGTGAACTCATTACAAGGTGCGAGGAACATGTTTGCAGCAACTGAACTACAACGCCAGGTCTGATTTAATTGATTCACCTCTCTCAATGCAGAAAGAAAAAAAATGGGCTAGACTTAGAGAGAGATCAACATCAGTTTCTGTTTTGTGGTTTTTGGTAGGTGTTTTATGCATTGGTCGACCAAATGCTATTTGGAGAACAACCAGAGACAGCAAGAGACGTGAGCCAGCTCGTTGCTGAGCTGAAACGGGAACACACGAGCTGGAACCATGTCGAAGGAACACATTGGCATATTCGATTCAGTCACCTACTTAACTATGGAGCAGGTATTATATCTCTACATAAATCCATACAGGTTGTTTTGTTTTCTTGCAGGTGTTTCTTGAACTCTAATGTGTGTATATGTTGCAGGGTACTATAGCTACTTATACGCCAAGTGCTTTGCGTCGACGATATGGCAATCAATATGTGAAGAGGATCCGCTTTCGTTGAGCACGGGGACATTGCTCAGAGAGAAGTTCTTCAAACATGGAGGAGCCAAAGATCCAGCTGAGCTTCTCAAGGATCTTGCAGGCAAAGAGATCATTAGTGTGCATGGTGAAGGCATTGTCCCTGCAACTACTTGCCTTTTGAATGAGCTTCGACTATAAATGATTTGGTGCAACAAAACAAGAAGAATCACACTTCTTTCATTTGTTCTCAATGACTGAGAGTTTTTTGAATCTAAATGATTAAACCGGATCAAACCGAACTGAACTAAAAAAATGATTTGAGACTAAAACAAATCTTAATTCGGATGTGAGAACACACAACTCTCCAATTTAAAAGGTACAAAACTGAACCGAAATTTAAATTTCTCACAAGAAATCGAATATAGCTCAGATTAAAAACCGAACGGAAACTGAGAATATAAACCGATTTAGGATAATACGACGTCGTTTGGGTTTGGATGAAGAATCAGAAACAAATATCCTTGACGAGATTAATTATTCTCTCTATCAAATGAAAATGGCGCTACAAATCCACTCTTCGTATTCCTTCTCCACGAGACCTTATCATCTTCACCATCTCTACGCGACCAGAAACCCTAGATTTGCAATCAAATGTCAGAATTCCCAAATCGAAACAGAGAAAACAGAGGATCCAGCTCAACCCAGGAAATCGAGCTCCTCAGGCGTAGGATTCGGGTCGCCGGCTTCTTCTTCTTCTTCCTCTCCTTCATCTTCTTCGGGTAAGAGAGGGAAAGGGAAGAGAGAGGTGATTAGGCGTTCTCCTGTGGAGAAACCGGTGTTTATTAGCGAAGAGGGAGCGGCGAAGGCAGAGGAGCTGAGACTGAACGAGAATGCGTTTCTTCTTGTATGGCTTGGGCTTGGTATCGTCATCCTCGTCGAAGGGATTGTTCTTGCCTCTTCAGGTACTATTCTGGGAATTTTCGAGTACTCAATGTTCTGGTGATTCACTTTCACTCTTATAAATCTCTAAGCGGATTACAATTTTCCAGAGAAGCTATCGTAATGGGATGTTGGCGTAGCTTAGGTTTGTTAGATTGCTTAATTGAGTGAGCAAATTTCGAAATCATAATCCAAGATTTAGCTTAGAGAGTCTTGGAAGAAATCATAGAGGTGTGAAGTCTGGTCTCAAATTAATAACCTTTGTCTCGTGAATTTCTAAGTGTAAAGACTCCAACTTCATAGCCGAGCTCGTCCCTTCTCTCCTGTTGTTATATCTTAGTCACTGTTTTATCCCTTTAATCAGGTGATTATGGTCTGAGTTTAGGCCTGATTCTTTTGCTGTAACTTTGCTTGCGTTACATCGAGTATATTTGCTTGTTCTCTGTTGCTTTTGTGGAGACAGAACATAATGTTTGTATTGGTAATGGACAGATCAAAACAACTGTTTTCCTTTTACAGTGTGAGGAGATAAATGATAGAACAGAGTTTCACAAGGCATTTGCGAATTGAATACACACAGTTATTTAAAATCTCCTTGTGTTTGTTTTGGCTGTGTAGGATTCCTCCCCGAAGAGTTGGATAAGTTGTTTGTGAAGTATGTGTACCCAGTGTTCACTCCATCGGTTGGATTATTTGTGGCTGGGACTACTGCATATGGTGTTCTCAAGTACATACAAAACGAGAAACTCAAGGATCAAAAGTGAGACAAGTACATGATTGATTGATTGAGAAGGTTTTGGTGTTAAAGGTTTTAGTGTAAGTGGTCCTGTTGCAAGTGGAGTGTAAGTGATACTCTTAAGATGGTTTTCACTTTTGCTTATGCAAATCGAAAAAGAAGAGTTTGTGTATTGATCTGAACCTTAGTCATTTGTATATGGAGAGATTTTTGTTTATGTAAAATTAAAATCAGTTGTGCCATTATCATTTTATTTTCCTAAATAAATATCAAGAGTCTTTTTGCCATGAACACCAGAGAACAGCTCATACCAAAGTACAGTAGATTACATCAATTGCCACTAAGGACTGTTGCAGTGGGGCAAATATCGACGGGCGGATATGTTAAGGACGTGTCGGTTTTCTTTATGCTTTTCATTGAGAAATTTAAGAGCATCTTCAACTCTACTCCGTTATTTATTGCAAATACCATTTTGAAGTAAATTTCTCTTCAACTATATTCCATTATTCACTTCACATATTATTTTAGAGTAAATTTATCTCTAATCTTATTCCATTTTCTATTCTAAAATGGAGTAAACCCAAATTTTGTTATATATTTGGAGTGAACCTAAATTGTGCTCTATATTTGGAGTTGAAGTTTTTTATTTACAAACTAATCCTTTAAAAATTAAATAATTTTATATTATACTATTTGTCAACATTATAAAGAAGATAATTATAAATATTTAAATACTATAATTATTATTAGAAAAGATTACAAAATAAAATAAACTTAAAATACATAACAAATGTTGAAATTTAAATAAATGCTGAATTATTTATTTCATAATTTACAAAAGTTTTGTAAACAACAAAATAAATGAGTTTTATTAATAAATTTTAGAAATAAAAATATTAATAATAAAATAAAATCGAATCTATTTAGAATATTTTTTGAGTAAAAATGAAGATATACATTGGCGCAAAACTCAACTCCATTCTGGAGTTACTCTATGTTAGAGTAAAAATAGAGGAAATACATTGGAGATAATCTAAACCCTAAGACTTTCTCCAATGTATATCTTTATTTTGTCAATATTATTATTATTTAATTAATTATATAATTAATATTAAATTACTATTAATGATTTGAGTTTTTATAATTTCTTTTCCATGGTTTTATACAACTTTTATTTTAAGTTATTAAGTTTATATTTTCATATTATTTATCTTTTTAATATTAATGATTGACGTTGGTTGAATTTGGTCTTAAAACCAAATCGAACTGACCTCAAACCAAACCCGAATTTAAACCGAAATACTCACCAAATTGTCGGTTCGGTTCAATTGGTTGCACTAAATTCATATTTAGTTTGTTTACATCTTGATTTGTTAGCATTACTAGGCTTTTAATCCGTATTAATAGTTTGGTTAATTTTGTATGGGTTAATATTTTTTAAATTATCAAAATTATGATATATTTATAGAAATTTTCTTTTATATAAAATTTAAAATATAATATGTAATTTTCTCCTATTTTGTTTATAAAATTATAAATTTGATTAAGTAAAATCATAGTAATGATACATATCAAATTATCCAATTTCGACGTGCATACAATTGATTTAGAGAATGATTTCCTTACTAAGTACTTGGTGTTTTGTTTCGTGTCCTTATGATTTCTATAGTTTTTCTTTATTTAAGATTTATGTGTTCAAATATTTAGTTTTTTGATTAAACATCTCACCGATATTGTGTACCTATGCATATATAATATATGATTCATGTTGATTCACATTTACTTTTGTTGGGATGCTGGAATAATCATGTGAAGCTGCTTCTTGCTTCTCTACAAGGTAATCTATGAATTTTAGCTTATATTTCTATTTAATTTATTATTAAGATTTGTTTTATTTGCAGGCTACTATTTGGTAATTTTTGTTTTTAAACATATATGATGGTGTGAAGCCTTCATATTAATTTTCAATGTTTTTATCTATTGTGTATTTTATACATATTTTGATTCGAATAATTTACTAGATATTCTAATTTGAATTTGATTCATAATTTTACCATATTTTATTATTTAAATAGAATTTTAGAAAGTGTTACTCATGTGTTGTTCATGTTGACTCAGTTATAAGTAGTAGTTACATATAAAAATCAGACTTTACTACTTGTTATATTTCGAGTGTAAAGTTACTTGTGTAATATTTTTCTTTGTTAATTTTTAAATCAGACGCAGCCAAGGTATTAGCCTTGTAAATTTAAATAATATGTTTGATTTAGAATATTTGTATAACCTACTATAAATTTAGATGGTTATTCATAATTAATAATATTTTAGAAATCATAAATTTTCTAAAAGTAAATTCCAAACTAATTTCTTCTGTAGAATTTATTTTCTGTTACTTTACATATTTTGATAGTAATTTTATATGTTATTTAATTTATACAATTTTTTGCATGTTTGATATACTTAAAACATATATAGTTTTCGATTAAGTTTTTTTTGTTGTTGATTTTCCAAATAGGTAGTATATATATCAATTAAATTTCTTTTACATAAATATTCTCTTTGTTAATTTTTTTTTTGGTATTAATTTTCAGTTTAATTATAATACTATTTTGACATGCTATAACTGGACAATCTAAATTTTATGTGGACTTTTATCAAAAGGTTATAGCATCATTTGCTTCTTTTTTTTTAGTTAGTTATTTTTTATGTTGGTATTCTAAAACGTTAGTCTAAATATCAAAGTAATTTCATTTTATACAATGTTATCCTTTGATAATTTACTTCACTTGATATCGATTTCTGTTTTATTTTGACATATAAATATTTTGAAAATGTTGAATTTTTTAAAGACATGAAACCGGATTTTTGCTATTCTAAACCAAATATCCGTAGCCTCTAATCAGTTGTAGAATAGGGATCATATGTCAATTCATTTGTGCAAGATGAAATGCAAACAATGCCATAAGCTAAGCAATGATTGGGGTTTTGAATAATCAAGGACAAGTTTAACAACCTAACAAAGCAATGGAAAGAAAGCAGAAACTAAATGCAAGTGAATAAAACTAGGAAATGAACTTAAAGCAATTACTAAGCAAAAACTAAGCAAGAATGACAACTAAATCAATAATTAAGCAAGATGATCTTCATGACAATTGATAAAAAGGAAGACTCAAGGTTCTAAGCAATTGTGGGATAGTGGCTTTCAAGAGTGAAAATGGGGATTTCTAACAAAGGCAAACATCAAGCATTCATAAGCAAGCAATTCTCAATGTTGTACTCCTAGACAAGATATCTAAAAGGAACCAACTTAGCGTCAATAAGCAGTTCATATTCAACAAGATTGAAGTGTTAAATCCACTTGTGATGACATATCTTTCAACCATGAGCATAAAGATCAGAACCATTCTAGCCTAAGATATGTACTAATCAAGCAATCATTCTCGCACCCAAGCAAGAATTGAGATCAACTTATCAATTTTGTGAACCAATAAGGACCTAGTTAGTTAAACACCAATCAAGAATATGGGTTTAAGCACACAGCTGCAACATCCTAACAATGCTAAGCAACGAACAGGAATGAAATAAAGGCAATATCTTTTAATGCATATTATCTAACCATCAAGCAAGAATCTCAACACCAGCACCATCTAGCCCTAAACTAACCATCTAGCAATGGTGAACTATCACTTTGGTGTCACTGAACAAAAGAAACATAGACCAAGCCAAATAAGCGAACCATGCTTAGAAATGAGATAACAAGCCATTTTGTGAACCATATGCATCAATCAATATTATATTCAATCAAAAAGAGCAAGCTTTATGAACAATAACTACTTTGTAAGAGAAGGAGACAACAGAGAACAGTTAAATAAGCTTAATCACCCCTTAATCATATCTTAATCACCTTTTTCCCTACTTAGAACCCTAAATCTAAAGTAAACTACCCACTAATCATGTTTAATCCTATTTGTTTGGAGTTAAACATAACTAGATGAGGTTAAAATGCAAAGATGATAAATCTAAACTACCAAGGTGCAAGAACAAAGATTAAGAGATAAGATTAAACCATAAAATTGCAAACTTTATTAAAGATAAGGAACCTAAGGCAAATCGTCCTTTTTGTTTAGAGAAGAGAGAATTTTTTGATAAAAGACTAAACTTGGATAAAGATAATGTTTTGTGCCTTCCCTTTTATAGTAGGGAGCCAAAAGAAGCATAAAAAACTTAAAAATAAGATAAGGTCAACAAACGTCAAATGGTCAATGTGCGGATGAATCACATCGAGGTGGTACGGATGGTGCTCTGCTCGATATGCGACCTCGATATGGTTCATGCAGTGCGCATCGGCTTCCTTGCTCGATGCTGGACCTCGACGCAGACCACCGGCTTAGACTCCTCGTGCTGATTCCCTTCCTCTTGTCCTGCTGCTTACATCGAGCATACTCCACGGGTGTTCTGCTCGATATGCTTGCTCAATATGAACCAGACTTTGCAAGAGCTCCATTTCTGACATCTTTTTCGATCATGAGATGCTTCCATCTCCTTCCCAACTCTAAAACTCTCCAAATTCACCTGAAAACCACCACAAACATGCACATTTATGCAAATGTATGCAATCCTAAGCTAAATGCATGCCATGTTGATTCTAAGTGCAAATGACATTAAAATGCTAAACTATAATGCAAAATCAGAGGAAAAGATGCATTGAATGCAGCCTAAAATGGTCCAAAATAGCAAGCTATCAACACCTCCACACTTAGCTTTTGCTTGCCCTCAAGCAAACAAACACTTAACATGGTGATGAGGTTTTAAATGGGAACTCATATCTCTAAAAATGCTAACAATAAATAAAAATGAAGTCCATGTTCTTAATTCTAGAGTGTGCTTGATGGAAGAATACTTTAAACACTTAGCCACTTTCATCACAAAGCAAGAATGATCATAAAGCTATCAACATACACATGCTCATCAAATCAAACAACCTTTTTAACATTCAATTATGCTCAAACCGTGAATCATGCTTATGCAAATGCAAATGTGTCATTTGGCTAAGGGACAAAGCTTAGTGGAATAAAAATGATCCCATTTCACAAACTGGTTTTGGTGTTTAAAGGGTTCTCTCAAGGAAAAACATGGTTGTGCTTTGGCAAAATGCTAAGGGTCAAAGAACAGCTTACACATACAAAGGAAGATGTGTTCCTAACTTTATCCTATCAGTTTAAACCCACCTATGCTACCTTTTTAAGAGTTTAAACCCCTCTAAAAAGCCCAAAAATTCTTCTCTTTCAAGCGCTTTGGAGAACA